AGGTCATATGCTCCAGCCCCCTAATCATTTTGGTTGCCCCCTGCTGGACCCTCTCCAATGCATCCCCATTTCAGCCTCTCCTCGTAGGTCATATGCTCCAGCCCCCTAATCATTTTGGTTGCCCCCTGCTGGACCCTCTCCAATGCATCCACATTAAGGTAGTCTCTTGCCATACTTTCTATCTTTCCTATGCAGTGGGATAGTTTGCTTTGGGCCATTTGCTTTGAAAAACTGCCAACTCTCTTCAGTTGTTTTTCCTTAGTCTTGCTTTGCGTGGGACCTTAACTACCAACTCTCTGATTTTCTTAAAATCTGCCTTTCTTGAAATCTATTGTTTTTATTTTGCTGTTCTTCCTTCTACCATTCCTTAGAATCATGAACTCTATGATTTCATGATCACTTTCACCCAAGCTACCTTCCACTTTCAAATTTTCAACCAGTTCCTCCCAATTTGTTAAAATCAAATCTAGAACAGCTTTCCTCCAGTAGCTTTCTCAGCCTTCTGAAATAAAAAAAAATGTTTCCAATACAGTCTCAGAACTTATTGGATAATCTGTGCCCTGCTATGTTAGTTTCCCAACATATGTCTGGATAGTTGAAATCCCCCATTACCACCAAATCCTGCGCTTTGGATGATTTTGTTAGCTGTTTAAAGAAAGCCTCAGCCACCTCTTCTGCTGGGATAGGTGGTCTGTAGTAGACTTCTTATATGACATCACCCTTGTTTTTCACACCTTTTAATCTAACCCAGAGACTCTCAACAAATCTGTCTCCTACATCCACCTCCACCTCGGTCCAAGTGTATTCATTTTTAATATAGAAGGTAACACCTCCTCCCTTTTTTCCCTGCCTATCCTTCCTGAGCAAGCTGTACCCTTCTCTACCAATATTCCAGTCATGTATTATTCCACCAAGTCTCTGTCATATCAACTATGTCACAGTTGTGTTTATTTATTAGCACTTCAAGTTCTTCCTGCTTATTTCCCATATTTCCTGCATTTTTAAACAGGCATCTAAGATACTGATTTGATTTTGCCCTCCAGGAAAAGGAAAGTGGTATTTGAAAACTTGTCCCTTTAACACCACTAAGAGCTAGGACTTCAAATATATGTGTCAACCAAAAGACAAGCACATCTTGCAACACAGTGAGACTATTCTGTCACCCTCTACAGGCCACAGCCAATGAAGGGTCTATGCAAGCTATAATATGGATGTTTTGTCTATGGTAAATTGTAGATAACATTTGGCATTGCTAACTATAAGAATTTAAAAATTACAAGACAACCCCCCCAAATCATGAGATTTTTAAAACACAGAAATTATGCCCATCTTTTTATTTGATGTCTGGTTTTTGAACTTGTAGCTTACCCCGGGGACACATTTAAAGCTTTCCTCTGCAACTATGGAGGGCTACAAACTTACTTTAAAAAAAAAAGAGAGAGAGCTGTTTCATTAAATAAAAAAAAATAACCTAGTGCTGCAAGATTCTTGATAAAATGAGTTGGCAATGCTGAAGGACACCACAAAAAAGTATCCCACAACGACTTCCTATATTAAAAATAGTTCCAATAATTATCCACCCTGAAAAAAAAAGAAGAGACTGTGCAAAAGAACCAAGAAGTAAAATCACCAACTTTTAGTTGAAATCAGATCCATGCTGGCTGGTTTCAGCTACTTTGGCAGCACTCAATAGCTCTCCAAACCATTTGAAGATTCCCTCTGCAATAGCAGAGTAAGCCTGTAGTGCAGGGGTGGGCAATAATTTTCAGGTGGGGGGGGGCACTCAAAGATTTTGGCACGTGGTCAAGGACCACATTTCTATGGAAGGGGTGTAGGGTCTGGGACAGAGGTTGGGTGCAGAAGGAGCTTGGAGTACAGGAGAGGGTGTGGGATCTGAGAGGGAGTTTGGGTGAAGGAGGAAGCCTCCCTCCTCAGCATCCAGAGCAAAAGCAGCTAGCTGCACTGTGCCTAAGTGTCTCAGCGAGGCGGCCATGGGCCGACTCTGGTGGCTTGGTGGGCTGCATCCAGCCTCCTGACTGCTTCTTGCTCATGGCTGTTGTAGTGGTACAGGTATCACCAGTCTACAATACAGGGGCTTATGTAAGGAAAACAGGCATAATCATATCCTCCAGTAACCCCCAGGTACCACTGCCTGATGTCAATTAGATCAGAGATCAGCTGGATTTGAGCATCTGGCCCACTCTCTCAAATAATTAAAATGATATGAGATAGACTATTTAATAATGGGCATTTAAAGCCTGCAGTCCAATGTAGCGAAATTCATCCTGCTTTTAGTTTAGGTACTTTAGGCCTAAACGAAAACAAATGCATAAAAACAAAGGTGTGGCAGCCAAATATGTTTTCGTGCCTGTTTTCTCAATGGAAATGACAAATGTACTGTAGCATTACTGGCTTGAGAGCTCCAAGCAGATAAATACCTCCTAGGAGATTTGCGTGGTGTGGAGGAACAAGGGTAATCAGCATAATGAAATTGTATTCTATGAACTATTATCTGTCTGAAAAGGATTCAAAGTTAGCTGCAATGAAATAATGGTCTAAAGCAAGCTTTATATCATTCAATCTAAATACAGAGAGATTGCAAGTAATTTTATGCATGAGTAACTCACATCTGTGTCAAATGCACTTTTTATTATTATTCAGAGACTGATAGATACTGCACACAGGCAGCACCACATCCACAAACAATGTATACAACAGGTGAGGTCTGCCAAACAAATGTTTCCCGAAGGTGCATGGACCTCACTCTGTACACTTCAAAGCACAGCAGACACAATGCAGTATAAACACTTACAGTTCAAATCAGATTATAAAGCTGGCACAGACTCAGAGAAGGTATTTATAATGAATTGGTGATTAGGTGGGGTTGTAATTTTAGAATGTTATCTTGTTACAAGAGGAAGCGTTACCTCATCTTGACTCATCTCTGTAATTAATTAGAGGCTATTTTGAGGTCAGAGGTTTGTAAGCAAATATTATTTGTGTATTTGACTCACCACAAATATTTAGCTTACCTTGTTTTTTATTGTCTGCTGCTGATATACTAGAGAATGGAGCTGGGACATGGGAGAATAGACCTTCCTCGCTGGACAGCCCCAGAGAGGGAAATACTTCAAAGAAACATTTATGTCATGTGGTGAACTGGACATTTCACCTACCAAGCCGCTGGTGAAAGTGATACCACTTTGCATATATAAGGCCTGAACCAATGCCTTTTGAAGTGTTCTAGTTGACTTCAATGGGCACTAGATCAGGCCTTTACAGCACCGGAGAATATCAATGTGCATTAAAAACTTCAATAACATATAGGCTCAGTAACACCCGCAGGAGGCAGGGAAGTATAATCACCCTCCTGTTTTACAAGTGAGGCAGGCTACACACAGAAAATAATCTGCTCCAAGTTTGTGATGAGTGCAGGTTCCCAACCACATGCCATTCTTCTTTCTGAGGCCCATATTCAACCAGAATCAAAGGTCAGAGTTCATCTGAGGATTTATGCTCCCTTGGTTATCAGAGATGCCGTTGAAAACATGAGAATATTTCCATAAGGAAGAAAGGGGCCCGATTCAAATTACTTGTAAGATTTTAGAATCATAGAGTCATAGAGCTGGAAGAGACCTCAGGAGGTCATCAAGTCCAATGCAGGACCAATCCCAATTTTGTTCAGAATGATCTAGAATTTTGCACACAAACACATTTCAGCAAAAGTGTAGATAAAAAGTCCAGAAATTCCACACCCAAGTTTTACAGTTCAGTTACGCTGTCTAGATTCTGTTAGCATTTTTTGTAAACCTTCTATACAGGCAGTCCCCGACTTACGTGGATCCGACTTACGTTGGATCCCTAGATACGAACAGGGTGAGGCAACTCCCGCACATGCGCAGCAGCATTCCCGGGGCTCGCTCACCTGGGTCCTAGGATCCTCCTCCTCCTCGGGCCGGCTCCGACTGGGGTCCCGCAGAGCTGCCGGGCAGAGGAAAAGTGCCTCCCCACAAACTTCATTTTAAACTTTATCTATCCTTACCCAGAGAGAACATGCAATAAGTATGTAGTTTAATTATTACAGTAACTCTAAGTTCCCTTGAATTGGTAAATGAATTGGACACTTCACATTATTATAAAGTAGTTGTTTTCTAGATTGATTTCTTCCCTTTTAAATGTTAGATAATATTAAACCCAGAATACAGGAGACTATCCTTTCAGTGTCTTCTTGCAATTTCCTCATATTAAATAACAGCTATTAGCAAAAATTTACAGTTAGGTACTTCATAAAAGGACTCAGGATAAATATAAAATTGTTCTTCTCTAAAGTTAAGTTTCCACTATGAAGGTACAGGCAGTCCCCGGGTTACATGGATCCGACTTACATTGGATCCCTAGTTACAAACGGGGTGAGGCAACCCCGCACTAGCTGCTTCCCCCCAGCAGACCAGGGAGATGCGAAGCTAGCGCCCCCCCACCCCAGCAGACCAGGGAGAGGTGGAGCGGCTTTTCTCAGCAGACACCTCAGCTTGAGAATAAAGGACTGAGGGAAGTGAGGTGTGGGAGAATAAAACTGAGCTCTGGAGAAATGTTTGGCTAGAGTTTCCCCTACAATATGTACCAGTTCCGACTTACATACAAATTCAACTTAAGAACAAACCTACAGTCCCTATCTTGTACGTAACCAGGGGACTGCCTGTACATCTAAAAGATAAGGGAGAAATGATCTAAATCTATACACATAACTAACATTTGATAATCAAGGGCTTGGACTTGAAAGACTTAAGTATGGGTGTAAAGCGAGTTAAAATCAATGGAACAGTATACA